ACTTTTTTTACAAAACTCGCTGCGCAATACAATATTTACACTTCCTAAATAAACATTTATTTCACTCATAAGAAAGGTGACTGTTTTAGGTATAACTGAGAAAAATGTATACTTTAAATGCAGTGAAAACGTAGAATTCATTTTCGAGATAGTAGTTCGTGAATCTTTTCTGTTTTTTATCCAAAACAAGTGAATTAAAACGATTTTTGAGTACTCTTTAATTTGTCTACTTTATTGGTAGTCTCCACCAACAAACTATCGAGTAAAAGTAACACCATACACTATACTAGTTATAATAAAATCTTGACGCTGATAAAGGAGTTATCAGACATTTTTACTTGACCCCGAGCAAACTCAAGTTTTAGTGGAATCCAGACAGCAAATGGCTGTGAGGAAGAGGCTTAAATAGAAGAAGCCTTGTTGCATGTAAAAGTGTTAATAAAAATTTCTCTAATGAATTCAGAATTCATGTTAAAATATTAAAAAGTCTTTGACCACAAAATGTTATTGTTCTCTTAACACTTAGGCCAACTAACCTTTTTGCTTGAGCTGGAAATATAATATCAGCAAGATCCTCAGTTCTAAATATGCTAATTAACATTAGGGTAACTAGAATTATATGAATACTATAATAAGAAGAATTATACGTATAAATAACAAGTGAGACACAAAATCCAAGTGTAATACTGATAGTAGATATGCTATTGGTACTGAGAAATTAACTACAGTAGCAGCATGATTATTGTTGTTAATAAATTATTGTTTATTACCGGAGGATAACCACAGTAACAAGCTATTGAGTAGGAATGCGTAGCACTTAAAGCAGCATCATGTGAACCCACCATAGAAAATAAAAATTTGTAGTTTTCAAAGTGTTGTCCTGATTTTTGCGAACTTCTCTACTGCATTTTACGTATTTATAAGTCATCGATTTTTCGAAGATTCGTAAATAGATCATCATTTATTAGGTAACTGCACTATCTACCGAACTAGTTAATTTTCTTAACGCGTATAATGCCAAGCATGAAAAATGTATCTGGTATCGGGCGATGGATCGAGATGGACTTGATCAAGGCGAAATACAGCTAGTTGTTGATCTAACATCGGCTTTTAGTCAAGCCTAGGTGTGTGTCTCAAACTCGATTAATAATTGGAACTGGCTAATGTATCAGGCGGTCCATCTAATGTAAGGTATTCAAACGGCGATAAAAATTGAAACGAATGAACATTCTGGAGTCGTAACGAAAAAACTGAAACAAAGAAACAAAATTTTCTGCTGTTTTTCACCATTAAAAAGTACTTGTCATTGGCTACTGAAAAAAATAATCAAAATTCATGCATGATCCACGCGGATTGTTGGTATTAAAATATCTGGGGATGTTTCTTACTTTTACGCAGGATTTTTATACGGACAGCCCTGTTAGAACCCTGCATAATTTATGTAGGGTCAGCATGAAAAAAGTCCTGCAAAGCGTAAAGATAAGAAACATCGCAAGACTTTCTCATTTATTCAATCCACCAGTTTTTTCCTACGAGATCTGGCAGTATTTTGTTGGTTGAACGGAAAAGGATTTTGTTCTCCATGTATATCCTGCGGGTCCAGCAAGCTTTTTTTACCAATATCTGTCCAGGATGACCGTGGAGGAACCTGTCTGTATTTTTATTGTGGAAGTTAAGTACTCTTTTCTTCTAAAGTTATCAAAACTTTTCTCATGGCCGATAACCTTCTAGAAAATGGATACCTGATATTATGACTCTAACACGCATTTTCATGTGTACAAAATCAAATTATTAATAGATAGCTGAAAAGATCTTTTTTATGTCAGAAATATTCTATTTTCTTCCATCCATACGAAATTAAAGTCATTAGAATGATCACGCTACTGTGAAAAACAGATGTATAGCAAAGCAGAGACATCAACCTATCCTACTTTCTTCAGTTTTGAATACTCTATCGAATGGTATATAACTTAAAAACTTTTTGTTTGTCGAACTGCATAATGTAATGCTGTATCACCACCATCATCTTGTTGATTAACATTGATACCGGCTTCGAGTAGCAATTTTCATAAAATTAAAAAACACAGCACAATGTATCGCACCTTGAGGTTTGAACTGGATAGTTCAGATCGCCTTCACATTTGATATATTCATTCTCCAAGCCAACGTTATTGTTTCTAATGGCTTCAACGTATTTTTTTCCAATCATTTCGTTCAATCTAATGAGAGCTTGCAGGCCACATAGAAGAAGAGATGGGTGCCTCTAAAAGCAAATTATGTTCAATTAATTTTTTGAAATGCTGCAACGGCATCATACTGATTTTTGTTGTAGCATCATTATGTTGAACACTTGACTCAGAAGATTCTTCCAGAAGGGTTCGGTGAATTTGATCAAAATTCATGTAGAATAACTATTCGAGTAAACGACTGAACATTCCTTTAAAACGATATTCTTCGAAGGCAACGCATGTGAATAGTAGCCTCGGACTGATTGGAGTTATTTGTGTGTGATTTTTGATCGTTATTGCTTAAATTCGTAGTCGTTGGTAATGCCACAGTATTATTGTGTGTTGAATATGTTTCATTCCCATCGGCTTCACATTTTATCACGTGAGAATCAAGCACTTCATTATTATCGGATCGTGAATGAGATCTGTTATAAAATACATACCAAAGCTTCGAATGGACTCCAAATTCTGTCAGAACGCGAAATGTGAGGCATGTGCAGAACAGAAAAGCAAAGACGATATCTCTTATTTGATACGACTCTGCTATTATTGCGCAATGACCGGCGTGTTTGAATGACGTACTGCAATTCTTTAGTCGTATAATTTCGAATAAACTTGTCGACACATTTTAGCTACTGAAGATCCATCAAAATGTATCGATTCAACTAACTGCGCCAGTTTATCGGAATGGATCGAATTGGATAACGTACCAGCTGCTAAAGGATAGAAAATAGTGTTAATATCTCAGAAAAGTGAGTATGATCTCTAGATCCTGGATGTTTAAATACATACACATTTATGCATTTCTGATGTAATGGTTGCTCATGTGGACATCAACGTCATGATACATGTCCATATATACCTAAAAAGTCCTACGGATCTAAAAGTTTTTCTATGAGGTCTGGAACCATTCTGAGACCACCAGCTTATTCAGTGCATCGTAAAATACTAGAATCCGATCCTACTAATCTATTGGCAATAGATTCTCGGTGCAAAAAGTATGCAAGTAAAAATGGACCAAATCCTTATCTTACGCGGATTCATCCTTTTTGATGTCATAACAAATAATTATCATCGTAAGTGTACTGATCACAAACGAGGCATCGTGTGTACATTCTATAATTATTGTCAAGTCGAAATTAAAGTCTTCCTGCTGGAGAATAAAGCCATTTAGTTGATTTGTGGGCAGTAGAAAATATTTAATGAAAAACTCTGTACAAATCAGAAAAAGAGCAATATCCCATTTATCTTCCATCAAAGTGTTCCACTTCAGTCGGTATTTGTTTTTGGAGAGTGTACACAATACGAGAAAGATATCAACTGGTCTGTACAGTCAAAATCTGACAACTAAAAATCCAGTCGTTCTCTCTCTTTCTTCAGTATGACTTAATAATGTATTTGGAAAAGAAGAATTGAATTATTTCCAATAAAGAATTTCAGGAAATGTTTGTTCAGATGATTTCCCACATTGTCGAGTACAACTACTGTATGGTTCGAGAAATATATTGAGAATGAGCGGACGATAATGTAATGATAATAATGGTTGGAGGTAATCAATATCGATATGAAGAGAGACTAAATTAATAAACTGAAAAAGTATCAGTTTAGCCGATAGAGAGATATGATATGAGAAATATGACGTTTTGCTGTTTTACAGGGCAAAAAAGTACATATCGCTTCAATAAAACTGTTAAAATGTAGAACAGAAAGATGCTTCATTATCATCGTGTGTCATTTAAGTCTATTTTCTTCGATCTACTAACAGAGAGTTAGATAATACCGAAATAATAACCCGCTAACGATCAAAAGATGATTCATTGTGATACTCAGCAAATACAATACAGAAAAAGTTACAGATAATTGAGGTAATAAGTGTATAGGTTGACGAGGCGCATTCTTCATTTGTTAATAGCATATCAATATTAGCAATTTATTAAATCAGAATATTACTTCTGGATAATTTTGAACAGCTAAGGTTGATTATTGATCTGTATTTTACCAGTTTGCCGATTTGTATAACGCTTATTTAGCTTGGAAATACTTTTAATATAGGAGAATCTCAGATTCACGTTGGATTTTTGCTCATTTTTTCCCACTTGTGTTTTGAGGATCTCTTGCATGTTATAACAAAACTCATTATGCTCATGTTGTTTAATATTGTAAATGATACAAGTTGCAGGCCTCTTAAAGTTTTCATTTCTGTCCTAATAGGCAATGAGGACGCGAAAAATGGATGCCTATTCTAATGATTAATATTCAATAATGCAATGGCCTATTCGGAATCAGCGCTTTGAGTTGTATCGAATCACGTATAATACACTAAGTTTTGGATTGGATAACTATCCATTAAACATTTTCCCATAGTACAAGACCAATTTTTCGAAAAAGTGATTTTTTCTGCAAAGGTTTATTTTTGCTTTCAAAAAGCGTCGGAGATGACTAAGCAGTGATAGTTATTCATGGAAAAACGGTTAATGGGCAAAAAACTCTCGACATCAGTTACTTATTCATATTTCAATACTATACTATAACCGTTTCTTTTATTGGACGGGCACTGTTACCGACAAATTATCGATGACAAAGCAAAATGATGCTGTTCATTTATTGCAATTTTTTTTCAATTTTTCGATTATATAATCCAAGCTGGATTATTCATTCATTTTCATACACAACAATATACAATGCAGAAATACAGCAGTCAACTTGAAGAAGAAGAAAAAAAAAGGAGAAAGAATTTCCTTTCTCCTGTAATCCAAATAATTATAGAGCCGCTCAATGTGGTCGAATGATGGATGACGCACGACCAGTAGCCATACTTGGTTGTCGAGTATGTTCGCGCTAAAACAACAACACAAAATGAGAATAGATATAGTTTTTTTACAGATATTCACTAACCGGTGATGTTGATGATCCGTTAACCGATACTGTTGAGCGATTTTTACTACGTAATTTTGACAATTGATTTTCTGCCACATCAGCCCTATCAACTGCATCTTCTATATAAAATAAACAGAAAGAGAATAGATACACCACCAGTTAGAGACAGCAATATGGTTTATTACGCACCTAATTCTGCTTGAACTTTACGATACTTAGCAAGATTTAAAGCCGCAATTTCTTCTGCTTCTTCCGCTTGTCGTTTATAAATTTTAAGTTTTTGTTGTAATTTATCGTTCAAATCGTTTAATCGCTGCTGATGTTTGCGTTCTTCTTCTGTTTGAAAGGTTAACTCTTTCAAACGCTGATCATTTTTACGTAATTCTTTGAGGGTTTCTGTATGACGGTGTTGTTCCATTTCATATTCACTTTCAACTTCATGAATCTAATTAGATGAGACAATAATTAAATAAGTGTCCTGCTGATGAATGTAGATGAGTATCATAGTCTTACTCGTTGCTCAAGCTTAACAATAATTCGTTTTCCACCTTTCATTGCATGACCTTCTGCTTCATCTAAACGTGTTTGAAGATCTTTGATCTGTTGCTCTAAACCCTTTCTTAAACGTTCAACATGCAATGCATGTTCTTGTTCTTGTCGTAGTTCGTCGGCTAAACGTGCAGCATCTGCTCCTACAAAATGATCACTTATGAAGGTCTTCTACAACGCCGACCAACAGATATATGCACTTACCAACTTTCTTCGATTGTTCTTCACTATTTTTTAGTTCGGCAACGGCTTCGTCTAAATCAGCTTGCATAGCAACTACTGTCGATTCTAATTGTCGACGTTGTGACGATAAATTGACATTTTGTATACTTAATTCTGAGATGCGATCAGCTGCTTCGTGCAACTCATTTTCAGCTACTCTTCGTGCACGTTCCGCTTGTTCTGCAGCCGTACGTAGTTCTTCTAATTCACCAGTAATCAAATTAGCACGACGTTCAGCAATTGCAGCTGCTTCTCTTGCTTCATTACGTTGTCGTTCTTCTTCTTCAACTTGTACTTCTAAATCAGCAATTGATTGCTGAAATTTTTTAACAGATTTTTGCAAATCGCTATTTGCACGATTTGAATGATCCAATGCAATTTCTAATTCATTGATGTCAGTTTCTAATTTTTTCTTTTGTTTCAATGCTTCAGCTTTTGATCTTTGTTCAGCTTCTAAACTAGCTTGCATTGAATCAAGAGCACGCTGATGATTACCTATGTAAACAAATCTATTCAATAGTAAAATATATTCGTTGAGCAACAAGCAGACTTACGTCTTGTAGTTTCAAAGTCTTCTTCTTTTTCATGAATGCGCCGATCAATTTCTTGTCTCACCGTTGACAATTCTATTTGTGCACGTAAACTTTTTGCTTCTTCTTGTTCGAATGCCGATTCCGCCTCTTCTAATGCTGCTTGCAATTCTTCTTTTTCCATTTCCAAACGTTTTCTTTGTTTATCTAGTTCATACGTCGACTTGCCACCTTCTCCCAATTGATCGATTAAGTCTTTAATTTCATCAGTCAAATTTTTATTCTCTTTTCTCAATGCATCAATTTGTTCGTGCGATTCTTCATATTGTGTTTTTAGTTTAAACAATTCGGTAGAACATTGTCGTGCTTCTTTTTGAGATACTTCTAATTCAACGGTGATATCTTGACACTTTTGTTTCCATTCATTGATCAATTTATCAAATTGCTTTTGTTTTTTATCCATAGCTGATGCATCTAAAATTGTAGTACGATGGAAAATTAGAGTGGTGAGAATAAGGAGAATAGAAAAAAAGAGAAAGCAAAACTTACTAGCATTTGCACGCTCAATATCAATCATCAAATCTTCCACTTCTCCTTGCAAACGAGTTTTCACTTTTTCTAATGCGTTACACCTTGATAACGCACCTTCAACCTGGAAAATACGAAAAATTGTTGCCGCACCTCCTTATTATCTTATGACGTGATGATAATAGAGTTCCGCTCAGAGCGAGATTATGTCCCCTGTACTTTCCGAGCATTAGACTCTTATTCGTCTACTCTAGACATACCAGCTGCTAGCAAAATGGAGTGATGCCATTTCTTGCAGTCTTGAAATATATAATTATACAGAGCGACGAGACGAATCCAATAAAACCTTTTACAAGCACAGCTTGCACTTTTTCCAAGTTAAGAATAATTGTTCTACCATGAGAATAGATCATCTTAGAAAAAAAGAATTGCTTCACAAAATAGTCAACTTTTCCTAACCCATAAGATTTTTTTATCGATTAAAACGGTGTCTAAACGTGTGCAAAGAACGAAATAACAGAAACGTGTTCAGTCGATGCCTGAAACGCGATTTTTAGCCGTTTAGTTCAAACCAAAAAATTCCTTAATGAGACATGATTGTAGCCCGCAATTTCTGATCACAATGAGACATCTCCTGGCTCTACTCTTAATTTCTTCTTATTTCTGTAGCTTTGAGTTGACAATGAACATTTAGGGCTTGTTATGTAAATTCTATAACTTTGCAAAAGTAGGTCGTATAGAGCTAGGAGATGTCTCATTTTGATCAGAAATTTGTGGGCTACAGTCTTGCCTCATTAATTAAGGTTTTGATTACCTTTTAGAGTTTATGAAAAACTGGTTTTCCAGAAAACCGCTCTCTGAAGGCTCCTGGGCAACTTCCACTATAATATTCGGATTCAGCATATTCGATAACCTATAATCCAGGTTTGGCGGAAAAAGCGATGTGACAGTTCGCGAGGTGCCCTCGTGAATGTGGTAACATGACAGTTTTCCTTCTTTACATTTGTATTATAAAACAAACCATTTGTATCACAGCTTACTATTATTTTTGGCACTTGGGTCATTACTTCAATATATACTCTACAACTTCTTTATCTTGCGAAAGAAGTTAAATTAAATCATTTTCTGAAAGAATACGTGTCCGTAAAAGAGTCGTGCTAAGCAAAAATAAAATAGATGAACAATGACTAAGAACGTTTGTACGATTTAGACCTAATAGGTGGATCAAATCTGTTGTACAATTTTTGTACAATAGCAGCCATTTATTTAATAACTTAAATTTGTTTTATCTGTCAACTCTTCATTGAGTCATTTTCAAATGTAAAACATAGGCTATTTACAATTAAAATGAGATAAACGAAATGAGGAAAGCACTCTGGATCTTTTTTCTCTCTCTATCGAGTTCTTCACTATTGCTTCTTTTACTATTCAGCTTCTGTCACTGACTGGAGCATACATCTTCCCGTCATTTCGAGAAAAACTGTCTGGAAACACAACTAATGATACAGAGCGGAGCGTACCATTTAGAACGGCATTAAGTGATAAAACGGCGAGATTCTTTGATCAGTAAACGCTATTCAATTTTATCTCGTTCGACTGTATTCTAGTTACCTCAGTTGATCTTGCGATGCATATCCCTAGAGAAAGTACTGAGTTCAAGGTACCCATGTACTGAGAAAGCCTCAGCAAGGTACCCGATATGGGTACTTCGAAAATTCTTAGTAATTATACTAATGTAGGTACTG